ATAAGGTACATCCAGAGCAGAAATTCTGAAAGCAGAATTTGAACATGAGCTTCTAGCCTGAATCAGACAAGCATTCTGAGAAGTCTTCAGACAACCTCTCTTTTTCACTGAGGAGAGAACAGGCACAACATACTCTTTTTCACTTGCTGATACCAAAGCATTTTACAGATGCAGCAGTTTTTACACCTGTTTGCAAAGAAGCAAAAGCATCTCAGTTAAGAGTCTCAGCAGCACAGAGATAGAGCTAAGAAACCACAATTCTAAGATCTACAAGAACTGATTGCAAAAATATATTGTACTTCTCACTCAGCAACCCCTGCAAAATAACTGTAGATTCAGTAAAGAGCAGAAACAAAATTATTAGACATAAAAAGATTAACAACACTTACTTCAAACCCGAACAGCATGGGCCAAAACACAGATATTTTCATCCCTAAAGCTAAGTTTCCACCACTGTAGTCAAGAGGAACAAGCAAGGACACTTGCTTCAGGAAATCTAGCCATACTTCCTAATGACACAACTTCTTAGAAACTCATTTTTGGGAAAGACTTACTGGTTTTTTTTAATGCTTGAATCTCATCACATACATTCATAAGAGTATTTGGCTATAAAGTAAGTTCTGTAAACACATGAGGTTGTGCTTTTGCTTGAAGTAATGCTGTTCCTATAAAGCAGCTCTTGGGCTCCAAGTCTGTTACATGCTTAAGAAGGCACTGTCTATGTTTTGATTTTATGTTTTGATTTTTTCAACTGGGCTTCAGTGCAGCAGGTGCCTTCTAATGTGCTCACAACACAGGCAGTGTGAGTATGTGGCAAGAATCTATGCATGGACATTAGGGCAAGGGCAGGATTGGATCTGTGCCCAAATACACACTGCTGACAGTGCAGCCAGATAAAACTGCTTCTCCTAACATTGCATTGCAGCAGTTTGGGACTGAAAATGCACACCTGAATCAAAGTTTAATGTGCATAGCAGGCAATAAAGCTTAGCAGATGAGCCAGTTCTGGGTATCTTGAGCTTAACTTCTATTTCCCGTGCCAACACCAGCACATTCTTCTTAAAGAAAGGTATGTCTCTTCTGAGCTACAGACACACAGCTCAAGAGGTGAGAAGAACCTTTAGAAAGCAAAGGAAATCTTTAGCTCCCTGGATACGAGCTAAAGTCAGAATAAACATGCAACAGGCCAACCACATCCATGCAAAGTCCCTTGTAGCTTCATCTGAGTAAGGAAGAAATCATTAGGATTTATCTGCAGAAGTGCATGTGTGGGGGGGGAAAAGATCACTAGAAACCCCTCTTCTTCCTTCAACTCTCCAAACTGACAGGCCAACTACATCCATGCGAGATCCCTTGTAGCTTCATCTAAGGAAGAAATCATTAGGATTTATCTGCAGAAGTGCATGTGTGTGGGGGGGAAAAAGATCTCACACTAGAAACTCCTCTTCTTCCTTCAACTCTCCAAACTGGACAAGATACATTTCCTAACTGAAATAGCTTCCTAGCTTCCAGAGGTTGACAAACAATCTTTTAGTGACCAACATCACTCTGTCTTTGTTCCAAAAAGAACACTATCAGAGCTCAAAGTTTCATCAGATGAGGAATGAGGCAGCAGGATCAGCTACTCGCCTTCAGGGAAAGTGAGGGACACCATACTGTAATTTAACTGTGCTATAATGTGACCAAAATACATAACAACTTTCAAGTTTTTTAACTTGTGACAACTTGGCAACAGCGTTGCTATTGGAAAAGCTCCCTAAAGAAACCAGGTACTTCTTCCTTAAACCATCCAGCATTGGGACAGACACTCCTTTTCCTCTCTTTTTCTGCAGCCTACTTCTTTAGCAACTGGTATTACATCATCTTGCTTCCTTGGAGGTCTGGGGGGCAGTTCTGGGATGCAGCCAGAGCAGCACCACTACTGAGAACCGTTGCATTCAGGGAGTCTTAGTGCAGAAAACAAGCTGAGCTGCTCTTGCTCGTAGAAAGAATTCATCTGTCCACCTGACCTCCCATAGTGGGGAACAGAGGATATTCAAAAAGCTAAGTGGGAAGAACAAGCAAAGCTGTTACTGGACGTGGCCTCATCTGAGGGAGAAGTTTGCCTTCAGCATTTCCAGCTAGTTTTTTTTTTAAATCAGCCTTATCAGTGTGTTGCCAGCGAGTGATCCAGCTAGTTAAACAGTTGTGACTGCCTTTTATTAGAACGGAGCTCAAAGATTTAAAACCATCTCATGCTGAAAAACCAACTTACCAAGGTCTCCGCTGAGGAGCGCCTCGGCTAGAGGCGGATTACGCTCCTTCAGCAGGGACAGCTCGTGGGGATTTGCCAGCAGCATCTCCCGTAGCAAAGCTGGATTGTCCAAACCCTGAGGGAAGGCAGGCGCATCCGGAGGCGACGGGCGGAGGGGCTGTGCTGGTGGCCGCCGCTGCTGCGTGGATGTCCCAGGAACCGCAATGCTGCTGAAGTCTATCCTAGGCAGACCTGGAGGGGAAAGGGGCCAGGTTCATATTTGCAACTACGCTTAAAAAAAGCAGAGAAAGGATGGGTAGGGCATAATGCTACAATATTTGAACAGGCCTTTAACTAGAAATCCACATCAGAGGGCTTCACCAAAACACTGCCACACGCTCAGGTTATTAGGTTAGGAATGCTAGCACACACTTATATAGGTAGCCTCCTTTTCAGCAGTGCACTTGCTGAATCACAGACTGGTTACTTCCAGCTTTGCAAATGCAAATATCACACAGAGATCACAAGGCTAAGCCCGTGTCTCTATGGCACTTCTGTATCTCTCAGAAAAGATTAAAAAAAAAAAAAAGTCAAGACTAACATTTCTGCAGACCTGCATTGCAGGTATCAAGCCTCTAGCTAATGCAGGAGCATCAGAACCTCCACTGCTGCTCCCAAGCCCTTCCTACAGCCAGGAGTCACTGGCTCTTTTCCAGGTCTACCTTTACGGTGGGGATTTGCTAGAAGTTACTGCAGCAGGAAACACAAAGACAGGGCTCCCCTCGTACATTACGGATTTAGAAGAACCTGGCTTGCATGCATCATCGCACGACCGGGTTTGTTCAGATCCGGCTTCTCTGGCTTTATGTCACAACACAGATGCAGAGCACACGTCACATCAGCCTTTTAATGAGTCTGAGCTGCACAGACTGCATGTTATTGCACCGTTATATGGCATGGGAAGGGCATCAGCAGTCTTAGGAAAATCCACAAGTCTTTGCAAAACATGACTTTTTCTGAAGGAGCAACTTCTTTTCCTTTC